GGAGTACAGTGATTTAAGGGATTATGAGTAAAATAGGTAAAGGGCAATAACTACTTTATGCGGTCTACTTTTAAGATGAATACATTGCAGTCACAAAGTTTTGAGTGATACAACTTTCATGTGTATGTATCCCTTTGCAGAGCAAAATAAAATAAATTTTTCTTTGCTATGAAATAAAAGAATTTCTCTCTACACTCTGAATAACTAAGCCATCTTTTTTTATGGAACAGTTTTCAGAATACAGCTCTCCACAATTTCATAATCCCCTAGATCACTGTACTCCATGTTGCAAATAAACAAATAGTTTAACCCCAAACTGAGATTAAAACACTTTGAAAATATAAAAATAGATTTTTATAGTAAAAATACCAGCAATACATTTGACTCTCTACAAAAAACCCTCTTTACAAAAATACATCAATGAAACCTGATCTACAAACTGTTTTCTTACAAAGAATACATATTCTATTCATACGAACTTATCCTAAAAAATCTTGTCAGCATTAAACAACCCATGGAGGATGATATGCTGCTAAACAAAATCAACCAATCAAAAATGGTTAATTTGGCAATGTTAAGTTATTCTACAGTCTGTTTTCAACTTCCAGGATATTTGTATCAGCTTTGCTTTTTCTTTTGGTTTCTTTATCTACAAAAATGGAAAAAAAAAATCTGATTTAAATAATAAAAATCCATTTTTTTTTTTTTTTCTAAATTTTTTTTTTAAATCACAAAAATCAACAACACTGAACCATGTTTATCCCCCTTTACTGTCTATTTACATAAGGCAAGTTACAGTTTCCCTCTGCGTTCTTGCCTTCAGTGTCTTGTGAGTATCAAATTCTCCAAGCCCCTTTCCTCATTATATGTCTTAGAAATTTCAACTGTCTCTTCCTGATGTTAAGTATAAGTGTCCTTTTCACTTCTATTTTCTCTAAAACTTCCTTGTTGCTCACATGTTCCATACAAGGTATTCTCAGCATTCATCTGTAAAAGCACGTCTCTGCGGCCTCGAATCTCCTCTTATTGAAGAATAATTACTTTAGAAATGTGCAAAGAAAGTAATTAAGAATTGCTGGGAATGTTATTTAACCCTTAGGAGACAACAGAGCCGATCTTTTGGCTGAAATGTCGATTAACGAAGACAACGACTGGGTCGATCCATTGGTCTGATAATACAAGCCTCAAGATTAGGTGGCTGGTCTTCATACCAGCCAATCAGATTGCTTCTCACATTTCTTGCACATCTGGCAGTTTCTATGATAGTTTTCTGTGTTCTGTGATTTGATATTGATTTTTTTTTTTTTGTGTTCCAAGTGAGAGCTTATGAAAAGGGATACATCTTCTTAGCACTAAAACTCTAAATGAGACTCCATCTCCAAAGTGTTAAAAGAAAAAATACCAGATTCCTAAAAAAGTAAAAGGCAATTTTGTTACATTTATAATTTGTAGAAAAGAGCCATTGGTAAATTCTGTTTTTCACTTGATCATAACTACTTAACCATTTCTAACACTATTTCTATATTTCTATATATTTAATGCCATGTTAAAAAAAAAATCAAGCGAAAAGAGAGATAGGGTTAAAAAAAAAATTATCACTCAAAGGTGTTGCCATACACATCCATTATAGTATTTACTTTTGGCAAAATGGCTTATTCTTGCTATTGAGAAGCACACAGTGGTTAACATGTTTATTACAGACAGATCAAAATATGATAATTTCATCTTTCAGAGCTGGTCAGAAGCATAAAGATAGCTATTGCAAAATGTTGTTCTCTTTACCTTTTGGCATTAAAATGCTAGCCATTTGCATTGAAAGAGTATGTCCAGAGATCATCGTCCCACCATCCTGGAAATGATAGAACATTACCGTGGGACGACTGGTTGGAGAATACAAAATTTTTAATAAGTATTTTATCAGGTTATTCTAAAAGCAACTAACTTCATAAAATAAAAATTCTTACTTCTCACCATACAGCGCGCACACACACACACACACACACACACACACACAAAAGTAAACAAAACGTAAGTGCACTTCTTTTTAAACAGGTGAAACCAAAATGAAGGCTGAAGCATTATAGATATTTTTATTATTTATCTCAAGATCTCAAACAATTTGGGATCTGATTGTAAGAACTAATTTTTGCTTTGAAAAAGAAAGAAAATATTTTTATTATATTTTTCCTGTCAATTTTAGGTTAAAAAAACATTCATTGTATCATTAACAAATGACATTTATTTTGTTGAAGGAATGCTAGGTGTGTTTATGTAGAAAACATGTGTCACCTGATATATTTTTCCGTAACAATTATTGCAGACTCGGTGAGTTTGAGTAATAAATGAATAACACAAAAATGTATATAAAACAAACAAAAATGTATGTATTAACAAAGGTATACAATGACGATAAAAGAAGAAAACATTTAAAGACTAATTACATAGAAAACATTTGAATTAGAGAATGTGTGTTTGTGAAATGTGCGTAGGAGAAGCCCCGAGAGAAAAGTAATATATTGAAAGTGATGTGAACATTTGAATTAGAGAATGTGTGTTTGTGAAATGTGCGCAGGAGAAGCCCCGAGAGAAAAGTAATATATTTAAAGTGAAATGAACATTTGAATTAGAGAATGTGTGTTTGTGAAATGTGCGCAGGAGAAGCCCCGAGAGAAAAGTAATATATTGAAAGTGAAATGAACATGCCTCTATGCACACTTCTTTTTTTTTTTTTTTTTTTTTCTCTCTCCATGTGTGACTACATTTTATAGCTGTAGCTGTAAAAAGAGGAAAGAGAGTGAGTGAGAATATCATTGCCTATTTATAGGCTTAAGGAGCAGCCCTTAATGACTTTTTTTTTTTTTTTTTTTTTATAGTAAAATCAAATGGGATAACTCACAAATCTATCATAGAAAACATTTGAATTAGAGATTGTGTGTTTGTGAAATGTGCGTAGGAGAAGCCCCAGGAGAAAAGTAATACAATGAAAGTGAAATGACCATGCCTCAGTGGACACATTTTTTTTTTTCAATGTGTGACTACATTTTACAACCGGAGTAGTAAAAAAAAAAAACAAAGGGAAAGAGAATGATTGAGAATATCATTGCCTGTTTATAGGCTTAAAGAGTGTCCCTTAGCAATGTTGTTTTTTTTTTTTTTTTAACCAAGTAAGGCAACAATGACACGATGACGCAAGAAGGTGGTGGGGTTACTGAGATTGAAAGAAAATGAGAAAACTTTAAGGAGAAAGGCCAATAAAAGAACGGGTTTCAGGACGATTAAGATTGATATTGCATTTAAATTTTTAATGATCATAACTGACTGAGAAGCAAGAAACTGAAAGAGTTCTAAGAAGGCAAGAATTGTGAGTAAAATTATTAGAATAGAACTTATGGTTACATCTATTTCAACAATAAAATGATGGGACCTAATTGACAATCTAGTAGCTAAATTCATGCCATCAAGGAAAAGCTCATTTGAACAATTTAGTCACTTTCACACCAACCTGACATGGCTTCCCTCTGTCTTTTTTTATAAATATTTTCATGTGTTAGGTTTTCTCTTTATGAGAAACTAAATTGGAATGCTCTGCTGCTTTCTGCAATTCTCCATTCATCAGCCTCCTGTTTCAGCAATATGACCCAGAGAAAACCGTAACCAAGTGGCTCCAAGGCACGGAATCCAGTTTGACTGGGTTAAAATATAGATTTATTTCCTAAACATTTAAATTGTGTTTTACTTAAACTACTAACAACTGTAAATGATAACAGTTTAAAGAAGAAAAGCATAATTTTGATTTTTGGTATGTTTGAAACATTTTACAGGACATGGTGAAAAATGTTACTCTGGAGTGCTAACACCACTTTTAAAAATACGGTTATTGCTCTTGCGTATATATACTTGGTGCCAAAATGTCTTGAATGGCTTTTGTCTATCAAATGTGGAAAGGGATGAATTTTTATCTCTTTTGTTAATTAACTTTTTTCTTGTTTCAGAAAAATACACCCCCTCTAACTTGGTGTGAACGTTTAAGGATTGCTCAAGGAGCGGCTTGTGGTCTACAGTACCTACACACACAGACAGTTTCAATTATTCATGGGGATGTGAAAAGGTAAGAATAAATTCTGTTGGTGAGAACAATGACGAAAGGAAACCAGCTTTAATCATCCCTTTTATGATTTTTATTTCTGCAAACTAGTGTTGCATGTTTAAGATTAACGTCATCCCAGCGATGAGACTGGTTAGGTTTGTGTGGATGATATCGGGATGATACAGTATTTGTAATTAAAATTCTATGATATTTATTCTAAAAGCAACCAATTTCTTAAAATGGGAAAAAAATTATTCCTTCTCATCAGTAGTAAATTTCCCTACTTTCGCTGATGGTAAATTTCCCTTCTTGCCGATGGTAAATTTCTCTTCTTCTCACCAGTGGTAAATTTCCCTACTTTATCGCCAGTGGTAAATTTCCCTACTTTATCGCAAGTGTTAAATTCCCCTTCTTCTCATCAATGGTAAATGGAGGACACATGAACACACAAGCATGCGCAAACAAAACAAAAAAAAATATAAGCAAACTTAAACACTTCTTTTTATAAGCTAGTGATTGAAACGTAAATGAAAGTTGAATGACTTAAATTTTGATACATTTATTTCTTTAAATGTGGAAAATATTTGGTAAGAAATAATTTGGCTTTCTGTCTGAATTTCTGGGATGAGACACTACTTCCAGACAAGATCTCCCTAGGCATGCTCAGCAGAACAAGAGCAATCTACCCCCCCCATTGATAGGTTTAAATTTGAAATTCCCTGAAGGCTATCTTCTTGCAATTGATGTTTATCTTCTTCTTGTTTTCATTGACTGCCTTCTCTTGAGACTTCTTGTAGTTTCCATTTCTATGGCTGCTATCAACACTGTGTCATCTGCATGTCAAAATTCTTGATAAACTGTCAAAGATGCCCATTGTTTTATTAGTCAAACATATTTCAAGACATACTTTTTTTTAATAGCAGACAAGCATTAGTTTTTATCAATGATATATGCACAAAATACTAAAATGCAATATATATATATATATATATAACAGGATGTTTGTGTGTCCATCTGCCTGTGTGATACTTTTTCACTTGAGATCCATCCAACCAATTTTGACCAAACTTGGCACATACATTGTACAATGTAAGAGATAGGTTCTTAGTGTAAAAATTGATCATTTTGAAAAAAATCAATAATCGATAAAGCCGATCAAAAAATCTATAAATTCAACTTTGTATGTAGGTTACTTACATCATGATGAGCTCAATGATACCTCTGCATTTAGTGAAAAACTGAAAAACGAAAAATTGATTTCAAAACAAATTTTAAACTAAAATCTCCCTCAATTTTCAAGCAATCTAATACAAACTTCACTCAATTGTAGCTAGCAATAAGTTGATTGTTTAACAGTCATTTAACTTGATAATTGAGTCCACCCATATAGTGAAAAGCCACGTAATTGCTTTATAAATGTATCTTCTTTTACATCCCTAGTAGCACACTGACAAATTGAATTTCAAAAACTCCAAAATAATTGTTGTCTGAAGTGGGTCTTCATGTTACTTGTTTTACCCCTTCATGTCCTCAGCTAACTTCGATTGAATAAATACAGACCACTTCTGTTATATCAGTAACTGTATTAATTCAAAATGATTTTTTAATGAAATTACTTTAAAGTAATTGAAAAAGATAGACTTTGTTACATCTAAACATGATGCTGATTTTGCTCCATTCTAATTGAACCCTTTTTCTGATTGACCAGTTGGGTATGGCTGCTAGTATACATTAAAATAGAATTCATGATTTGTCAGTATAAAATGTTTTTTGTTTTCAAATTTTGCAACCATTGCTGGCACAAAAAGGTCTACTATCTACATTTAGAAAATATAATTTTTCATTGTATTGTGACAGTTGAGATGAAGTCAAATTTATTTTGTTGATTGATAATTTTCAATTTCAGGTTGAAAGAAAATAAGCAATATTTTCAGCATTTACTTTTTTTTTTTTTTTTTTTTCAATTTAAAGTAAATATGCAAATCAAGTACATGTGTGATAAATATAAAAAAGTGGTTTGTGAAGTTTTGTGCTGAAGATTTCACACTGAAAGATGCACCATGATCTGATTAAACAAGTTGTGATCAAATTGTAATGCACAATCAAGTAGTAAGCACTCTTGTTATCAAAAGAGGCTTCATGTTGCTTGTATTTCTACTAGGTACCATATTGGTAGAAGCGCAAACATGGACAAGATTGATTTGCATGCTTAAATCTATTACATATGCAAATCACTTTGCTTCCTAAAATTCCAGACTTCAAGTGAGCCAAAGTTAAATTTTCAGCTTGGTCATGTCAGTTGATGGTGAACAGATGGTGAGGCTCATGATGCAGTGACAATGAGCGCAATGGTAAAAGGATAATGAGGTTAGTGATGTGATGACAATGAGCCCAGCGATAAACAGATGGTGAGGTTAGTGATGTGATGACAATGAGCCCAGCGGTAAACAGATGGTGAGGTTAGTGATGTGATGACAATGAGCCCAGTGGTAAACGGATGGTGAGGTTAGTGATGTGATGACAATAAGCCCAGCGGTAAACGGATGGTAAGGCTAGTGCTGTGGTGAAAATGAACCCAACGGCAATAGAATATTGAGGCTCATAGTGCAGCAGCAATGAACCCAATGGTAAAAGGATAGCGAGGCTTATTCTGCAGCAGCAATGATCCTATTGGTGGAAAGACAGCTTTCTTTTGCTAGCCACTTTCTTATAAATTTAGAATTTCTTTTTCAATTTTTTTTTCTGCTTTTTCTCTTTTAGTGCCAATATCCTCATTGATAAGCACAAGGAAGCCAAAATTGGAGATTTTGGCCTCGCCATGTTTGCTACAAAAGGAACAGACACCGGAATTTTAAGCCATGTATCTAGCAATATGACAGGTAGCTTGTTTGGAACGGTGGCCTACATGCCTCCAGAATTTCTGCGATCCAATGGAAAACAGTATTTAGCAGGTGATGTCTACAGTTTTGGGGTTGTAAGTATAACTATCATGCTAAGTATACATATAATATCTATTGATATAACATGTGTGGGTGTATCAGTAAGTCAGTAACCTGGAATTATCTACAGAATTTTAATCTGAAATTTTCACTATATAATGTTCCATCTATAGGATTAATATTTATCACTGAATTAAGTGCAGTGACAAAGATTATACTGTAAAATAATAACTTTTTCATTATAAGGATAGGTATTAACTTATTGAAGTGTGTGTGTCTCTCTCTCTCTCTCTCTCATATATATATATATATATATATATATATATATATGTAAATATAAAGTGAACATTGAAGTCAACACTTAGAGGCAACAAGTTGTTTCATGCTAGATGCAATTGTCAGGCACATCAGGTGGCCTGACGATTACATCTAGCATGAAACAGCCTGTCATTTTAAGTGTTGACTTCAGATTTCACTTTTATATTTACAACTGCCTATCTCTGATATTGAGCACTTTATCCCATAAATATAGCACCCCTTAAGAGTATATTTCTTATATATATATATATATATATATATATATATATATATATATATATATATAAAGTGTGTGTGTGTGTATATATATATATATATATATATTGTGTATTTTTGGTAGCAATCCTCTTTTATACAAGTTTCATTAAAAATGACTGACAAGGTGCTATGGTGACTTTTTTTTTTTATTTAATTTTCCTTGTGTTCTTATAATTTTCTGCTTTTCTTTATATAAATTATGTAGAAATTGTCTGAATGTTCTGTATGCATTATTATATTTTATATACTACAACATGTATAACAAGAAGACTCACATTATATCTCTCTGACCATAGCTCAATTAGGTCTCATTTAAATACATATGGAGACCTACCAAACTCTATCTGTAACATACTCATTGATAATATGAATATAATAGCTTCATCCACATCTACAAAAAGGCTAAAACTAATGGAAACATTATTAATGAAAAAGATAAAAAACAATACTCAATAATACCAACTATGAACATGGCCACAATGTGCTGACCATGTTTGGAAAAATAAAATGTTTCTATAACTCAAGACACATACATAAAACAATAGATTCAGTTAAAAGTAAAAAATAAAATCCTTCTTGATAATGGCTAAAGGAATAGCCAAAAGCACTCCTCACTAAACCGTTATTATTTAAAAAAAAAAAAAAAATGCGCAGGGAACGATTTTTGTTGATCTCAGATTCAGGATTGCCAGATTATGCAAGGTTAAAAATATATATTGATATATTATACTAGCCATTATTGTTGCTTTCATGGTTCAAGGGGAGTAACTCTTATTTCCCTTTTGTATCCAAAATTTTAAGCTAGCTTATAAGCTGCTCTATTGGGCAGCATTTAAGCTAGCTCCTGTGGCGGGCTCTTGGTTTGGCCACCGTCACAATAGCTAGGGAGGTGTAGATATGATAGGCATCAATAAGCTACAAAAGAACTCAAAATTGATTGCTGCATTTAAGTATTGAATTAATGTCTAAGCTTACCTTTTAAAAGTTCAATGATAATTCTTCTGCTGCCACTTAATTTAATGACAATTTGATGTACGTAGTTCCTTTTTTTCTGTACAAACAATTATTTTTATTTCATGGGTGACAGAATAGGGACAATTTATAAGATCAAATTAAATATAGTGTAAAGATGGGAAAATAGAAATTAGAATTAGTTATACATTCAACATTTGAAGAATTAGAGAACCATAATAGCTAATTAACTAAAACCTATATTATGGAATATAATATATTAATATATATTTTTAACCTCACATAATCTGGCAACCCTGAATCTAAGCTCAATGAAAATCATTCCCTGCACCTAACTTTTGTAGGGCTTTTGAATGAGCAATGAATCATTGAAATTGAACCAGTGGGAGTGCAGGAGTTGCTTGGACAAACACACAAAAACACACACAACACTGTACTATATAAGATATATCATTTCTTTTGCATTTTCTCTATTAAGGTGCTACATGAAATTCTGACTGGCCAGAAAGCTTATGATGAAAAGAGGGTACCTAAAAAATTTTTGGTAAGTGTTTTTTTTTTCTTCTCTCTCTTAAACTGAGGTACTTCATAGTAAATGGAAAAAAAAAAAAAAAACACCACCATCTTGTATCTTGAGTGTGTGTGTTTTTTTTTTTTTTTCATTTACTATGCTTTGTTTAGTCTGGCACAAGTTCACAAACTGCTTATATAGTATGTACCTAAGTGCTCACCCAAGATCAGGTTTGACGCTCTGCCTGTCTTTTTATTTACTAAACTTTGTTTAGTCTGGCACAAGGCCACGGGCTGCTTACAATGCCTGATGTTCTTAAGTGGCCACCTATCTAAGTACTGATCAAGTTCAACACTCTGCTCGTCTATTTATTTACTAAGGTTTTTTTAGTCTGGCACAAGGCCATAAGTAGCTTATAGTATCTGGTTCCTAAGATCTTAATTCTTTTGTTTTTTTTTTTTTTATTTTAATTTTTTTCTTTCTCAGTATTTCATCTTTTATTCTCTCCTACTAAATTCCTACACAGTTTTTCTGTTAGTTACATTTTTTTCTTCATATTTGAAAATATTCAGATGGAGTACATTGACCTGATGTTGGCACCAGCAGATGAGAACTTCAACAATGATGATGATGTCAACATTGAAAGACTCAAAGAAATTATCGATCCCAAGGCCGGAGCTTGTTTTGAGAATATCATCGTTGACCTTTACCAATTAGCTACCAAATGTATACGCTCCAAGAAAAAAGATCGGCCATGTATGTTGTCTGTAAGTATTATTATTATGTCAGGTTATTGTTTAAGAATCTCTCTCTTTGAAAATGTAGATGTGATTTATTAAATATGTTTTACTCAAATATTATATAGACACAACAAATATTAAAAGCATATGTAAAAATTCATTGTAAACTATTATTACTTTAACAATGAATTGTAGCCAGTTTTATTTATTTTTTACATTTTAACTGAATTATTTTTGCTATTTTTTATATATATATATTTATATATATATATATATATATATATATATATATATTATAAATTAATGGATTTAAAATATGGTTTTTTTCTGCTACACAGTTCTAACCAGGTTTCAAAAATGGAAGCCTAAAGCTCAGAATTTAATTTTGTAATTAAATTAAAGACATTAGTTCCATTTCATCCTCAAGCAAATTTTGGAGTAACTTTTAAAATTACTGGGTTTTAAAGACACAGCTAAAATCATAATTCACGTTTCCAAGGTTACAGATAAAACCACTTTCACTAGACTAGGGGTGTCTGCGTGTTCATTATGTCTATATTTTGATGTGTCAGTTATTTGTTACGTTTCGGTGGGGGGTAGGGATGTATTTTTCAATGAAATCTAATATCCGTTAAATGCATGTCGTCTGGATTTTTTTTTTTTTTTTTTTTAAATTTTATTGTTAACGGCAAAAATTCTTACGGCATTTTTTCCCTACTATTTATATTTAAAGATTTTTGGTGGGTGTTTAGGTTAGAATATGCTTTATTTAACTATGATTTGAAATATTTTCACTTTTAATTTTTAATATACTATATTTGTTTTATGAACAATTAAATGTATTAGAATCCCTTACAGTATGTAGAATTATTTTCACTTCAGATATAAGTATGTATGTTATTAGGTTACAAATTTTTTTTTTTTTTTAAATATTATTTAAGTAAAATTTATGACCATCACGGCAAAAATAGCTACTTACTTTCACTGATTTAGTAAACTTTTATTTTTTATATAAACCTAGTGATATATTGTTTCTCAAGTAAGTACAAAGGACATGGCTCATTCAAAAGCTTACATCTTCTAGCATTTCATATTCATTTTACTGTAGGTGTTTTTATTGGATTCTTTTAAGTACATGTAGTACTAATAGGGAGGTCTTTAGGTTAGAAAACGTTTTATTTAATTACAATTTAAAAGAAGTTTAGGTTAGAATTCATTTTATTTAACTACAATTACATCTTTAAAATATTTTCATTGTTAGTTTTAATAGACTATATTACTTTTTAATAGAAGTATATGTATATTACGATTTTTAAAAATTTTATATTTAAATATTATTTAAGTAAAATTTATGGCACTTACGGCAAAAATAGCTAATTCATTTCTCTGATTTAGTAAACTTTATTTATTTATTTTTATATATAAACTTGGTAATATATAGTTTCAAAGGACATGGGTCATTCAATGGCCTACATCTTCAAGCTTTTCGTCATAATTTCATTTTTCAGTAGGTGTTTTATAGGATTCATTTAAGTGCCGGTAATACTTTTTGAGAGGTGTTTAGGTTAGAATACGTTTTAACTACAATTTTAAATGCAACATTAAAATATTTTCACTGTTATTTCAATACACTTTTTTTTTTTTTTTTTTTTTTTAAGAAAAAACTAGTAAATGTAATAGAATTACTTACAGTATATAAAATTATTTTTTCATGTTAAATATAAGTATGTATATTACGTGATCGCACCTTTTTAAATTTACTTTTATTTTTAAACATTATTTAAGGAAAACTTTTGACAATTTCGGCATAAAATAGCTATTTCATTTCTCTGATTCAGTAAATTTTTATTTTTTATAAACTTAATAATATATAGTTTCTCATGTATGCACAAAAGACATGGGTCATTTAATGACCTACATATTCTAGCTTTTCTTATTAACTTCCATTTTACTGTAGGTGTTTTATTTGATTCTTTTAGGTGCCAGAAGTATTTCAAGAGAGAGAGATGTTTGATTTTTATATTTATTTATCCTAAATGAACTTTGATGTTGGTTGAATCTTTTTTGAACTCATGGCTAAGTGCAACTATATATATTTTTTTATATATACATACGTTCTTTCTTTTTATTATATATATATATATATATATATATATATATATATATATATATAGGCAACAATTTTATTGATGCATGTTTTTTTTAAATAATATAGACAGGTTTTGTCTATTTATTTTAGATAAGTTCCTTTCATATTGTCTGATATCCAATAATTTTATTATATTGAAAACGCCTTATCATATATGTTTAAATCAATCTAAGCTTTTAAATGCCATTTTCAAGATTGGCTTGTTTTTATTTTAAAACTTATGATTGGATTTTAAAATATTGAAATATGCTTGGATTAATTTTCATCTTTCAATGATAATGTTATTAAGTTTTCTCAGACAATATGAAAGGAACTTAAAATAAATAGACAAAACTTGTCTATATCATTTAATGAAACATACATACATACATATATATATATATATATATATATATATATATATATATATATATATATATATATATATATAATGCCTTAAATTCCTTAGGAACATGAGGCTGCAAGATATTGTTGCAGTTTCTGTAACAAGCCAGTTCCATATAAATATACATTATACAAATATTGACTAAGCTTAGCTCAGTCTATCACAAGCATGATCCTTAATCTTGGTAACAATGGCTTGTTAACCATTACTCACTACTTCAACCTTATATTTGTACCTTGTACTTGCTAAAATTTGGACAGAAAACTTGCCTAGGTTTATTTTTTTTAATCACTTTTTGTGAAGAAACTTTTTTAATTTAAAACCAAAACAAGAAAAAATGTTTTATTAGTTTTTGCTTTCTTCCCCTTTTCTTTTAGGTTTTCGAAGTGCTTGAAAGAATTAATATTCAGCTCAATGAACTGATGGAAGGTAAGTTAAATAAATTTTTAATTTCGCTTACATTTATTTTTTTAAATTTATTTCTTTTTTATAATTTTTTTTTTTTTTTTTTGTAACTTTTTAATTGTTTTTTTTTGTGTTTTTAACATCTTAATTTTTTTGTTTTTAACTTTTTTCTTATTAACTTTCATTTTTTTTAACTCTGCTTTTCAAATTTTACTTTTAATTATTTATTTTTTGCTTTTTGTTAGGAAGGTTTGCTTAAATATTTTTTGTTAGGAAGGGTTGCTTCAATACTAGGACTCCTTTGTCATTTTATAAGACTTTTCCTCTATCCATGTTCCAAAGCCCATTTCACTCAGTAACACTTGTATATGATATCACTAATGCATGTTGTGAACCTTTGATTATCCCGAAAGTATTGCTCCTCATTGCTTCTACCAGACTTGTCAGAATGGAAATATGAATTTTCTTTCTTTCTCCTGTCTTTAGTAACAACAATGGAGAATAATTAATTGAGTATTACATTTCTCCTTTTAACCCTTCCTAACTCCTTGATGCCATGGCCCATTTAGGAGATAATAGGAATCAGCTTTATTCACAACATATCACGATATTGAGCCTCCCCCCCCACGAGGGTGTCATGTGGCACAAGGCCTTTTTAACGTGGGCATTCCGAGCCGAGCCCATGGGCTCAGCCAAAAACATATCACAACAACAGCAATGCCTTGAACTGGTCACTGGTAGTTGGTTTAACAATTTCAAATGGAGAACTTTAGTCTCAGTCCTGCAGAAAAATTAGTATTTCTCTTCTGCTAACTCTGGTAGATGCAATGAGGAGCAAGGCTTTTGGAATAATCAAAGGTTCACAACCGTCATTATGCGTCCTAGAAATTTAAACTGTCTCTTTCTGATGTTAAGTATAAATGTTTTTGTTTTCATTTTCCCTAAAATTTGTATCATTTCTCACATGGTATTCTCAGCATCCTTCTGTAGAACCACATTTCTGTTGCTTCATTCAAGTCTCTTCTTTTGTGTCCAGCATTCACTGCTATGTAGCACTGATATTACATAACTATGTTCAATACTCTTTTCTTTGTTTCTTAGAAAATTTTTCTGTTTCTTAATACATTGGAACCTTCGTTCATGAATTTAATTTCTTCCTGAAGGCCATTCGTAACCCGAAACTATTTTTCCAATAGGAATCAATGTAAGGAAAAAAAGTCTGAGTACAATAAAATTTGAAAAGAAAAACGGGGCACAACACACAAATGTATACAACATGGCAGTCACCACAGAAATTATTCCGTTCGGGTTAACATGGTTTGGCAATGTTGTCAAAGAGAACCAAAATTTTGTTCGATAACCGAGGTATTTTTCATTTTGAATTTTTTGTTCAAAAACTGATTTGTTCAACATGTGAGATGTTCAAGAACCGAGGTTGCACTGAATTTTGTTTAGTTTTTAGAAGGCATCTTTCGCTATCCCAATACACCTTCAGATTTCAGTGTGGCTTTTGCCGTCCTCTGTTAAAACACTTCCCAAATATTTAAATTGTTGTACTTGTTTGAGTTTGGTATCTTTAATTTGTAATTTGCATGTTGGGCTGTTCCTTTTACTAACAAGCAAGTATTTTTTTTTTCCTTACAATTGATACTTAGTCCTTTCTTCTTGCTTTCCTTCACTGCCTTCTGTAGGTTTTCTTGTAGTTTCATTTCTGTCTGCTATCAATACTGTGTCATTTGCATGTTAAGATAGCTGCCAGTAATGAATCCTGGTAAGACTTAATTTTTTTCAAAGTTGCTTCAAAAACATTAATGTAAAAACCATTTTGACCTACCTGAGGAAAACTAAATTATACAGTAAACTTTAATCCAGACAACTTCACCTATAGATTAATTATAGAACCAGTTTTTTAACTATACTTCACGAATTATAAAACTCAAAACTTCCTTTCAGCATTAACCCTTTCAACCATGACCCCTGCTTTACCGGTAGTAGGTAAAAAATAACGTAATACTCAGTCACCAGTTGAACAGTGGGTAAACACTTGTAACTATTTTTATATCTATCCTTAAACTTTACATACCAATTATTTGCAAATTTTGACTCCGGAGCTCATGCAGAAAAGAAAATTGTTTAGAAACACAGGGCTGAAATGTTTATATGACCTATGGGGGTTGTCATACTGGTGAAACATCCAAACCAAACCGAGAATCCCCTCACTGTATAGGTTGAATAA